TCTTTAAAATTTACTTAGCCCTACGATTCATTTCTTTAACAAACTTAATATAAAGATTGATGTAATTTTGTCCTACACTATTAAATTTATATTTCAAAATTTTAAATTTCATATATTTATCTACTGTTGCATTCAGATTTGTCCCCTCAAAGACAATGGTCCTACAATAAGGATAAGAAAATATAGTTCAAATCACATAGGATTCCAACTATTTCACAAAGCAAGGTTTGGTCCTATATAGTGTTCCCTACATATACCCACAAAACAATATACTAACCTCTTAAAAAAAAAACGCTCTTTACGCCATGTATTAGTTGATTATTATATTAAAAAATTATTTTATATTAATTGTTCATCTAATTAAATTAAGTATTTTCTATATTATTCTTCCAATTAATTGTTCACATTCGTTATAATATTTTTTTTATTTATAATTTTATAAGTATGGTGTAAAATAAAAAGTGATCGGTTAGTATGAGACGGAGTGGGTAATTATTATAAATCATCAAGGCTATTTCGTCTTTTCCATAAAATTTCTAATCAAAGTACTTGACCCGTACACCGGGTCTTATCATTAATCAGGCTTTTTTATGTCGTTGTCAAAAGGAAGAAGCGCCACTTGTAATCTTTCATTTCCGAAAATACCCTTCTTTACAGTAAAAAGTGATAATATGATTAGACATGTAGCCAATCAAATTCTTTTGAAGTTAGTTGAGTGAATTATGATGTTGTGAGGGGGGGGGTGTGTGGGGTCAAGTGGTCCCTTTATTTTATTTTTTTTAGTTTGATAGGTAGTTATAACTAGTTACTTCAATTATAAAAAAGGGATATTTTGTCATTTGTTGCAAAGAATATAACAAGAGTGTATTAGAAATTTCTATTTCTTCCCCCCCTTTTTTTTTGGTTGACTTAAATAATCCTTATAGATTAGTACATTTGTTAACTTTTGTTTTAGTTGACTTAGTTTTTAATCACTTTGTAAGGAAGAAAGTAAAAGCTTTTATGGGTCAAAATAATTCCTTATTAAATGTAGGATTAGATTGGTTAGTGTGAACAACTCATTAATATTACTATCATAATTAATAGCCCAACATCTTTTGTGATTAGATAAGATATAATATATTAGTAGTTATTTAGAAGTAGTTGCAACATCAAATTTTTGACTAGAGCGTGTTAATATATAAAGAAGTAAAATTGCTTGAAATTATGAGTATCAATATATAGTATATATACATAAAAATAAATATTTTTATCTATAATATAACTTTTCAACTAAGGGTGATTGATCGACATCTCTCAAGTTCATGAAGCTCCACTATTGACTGACGATTTAACATATGATCTTAGGTTTTCTATGTGAAGGTGGCAGAAGTTTAGTAGATAATCGAGCGTTATGTAGTTTTTCTAATCGATATTTTTATAATATTTACTCTCATACCATTTTGTTTGTCATGTCTAATATTATACCTTTTATTTTTCTTGGTTTTGGATTATATGTTTTTATTGTCCTCTCTACTTTATTTTTAGTGTGACTTTTTCAATAATATATTTCATTTTAATATTAAATGTTTATATGTATTATTCGAGTTGATAGTTTATTAGAAATAATCTCGTTACCTTCATAATGTAGAAATAAAATTGTATACATATCACCATTCGCATATTAAACTTGTGAAATTACATAGAAAAATATTATTATTATAAGCAAATAATTAATAAAAATAATTCTATCTCTGTAATTCCTAGCACTTCAATTTCACTTATCTTATTTTTTCACAGCAATTCTACACTAGATTGTAGGCTAGGACTGATGCTGAATGCTAAGAGTTCTGGTTTGGATAATTATTATTTTTCTATTCTTAATTAAATAAGTTGGATTTAATTTTTTAATTATGTAAAAAGAAAAATTTAAAACACTTCTCCTTTTTAATGTATCATACGCAATAAAAATTTAAATCGATCCTGATCAGCTAATTATCAGATTTTAAATGAAAAATTTAAAAATGGTAGTAAATTTTTGTTACTTTAATTATCATATTTTAAATGAAAAAATAAAAAATGATAGTAAATTTTTGTTACTTTTATCCTTAAAAGGAGGGGTGCTAGAAAGGGAATGATAATATGGGGACTTTATATATGTATTTGTGAAAATGTAAAATAGCAAATGGATCTTTCTTAAATATTAAATATTATTTATATGGAATATTTGCCTTATTTATAAAAGCCATCATTTTATTTACTTATTCAAAGTAAAACATACCATACTCTTTCTCATAAAATGGATTTGATCATTCATCCCAAAATATTTCTAATCAATATGGATTAGAAGTAAAACCAAATTAATTGTAACAAGTCACTTTTGTCAACTAAAATACTATGATCATTTTTTGTCCCATTCTATATGTTTCATTTTCTCTAATATATATGCTGGTCATGATCATTTTTGTCTAATTGAGGCATCATGTATAATTGAAATCATTTTCTCATCTTCCATGATCATTTTATTCTATAATTAAATGGTAGAGTTTCTGAATCTGTTCATGCAATATTTTACTTCCCTTTCTCATACATCTTGCATGAAATGATTTAATCCCACAATTGAAAATTTTACAATTTTAATATTACAAGAAGTTCTGTTTATCATGATTTATATTATATTTATTTGCATGTGAAATTTAGAAAACATCCAAATTTATCGTGTAAAGTAAATCATAAATACTTGTATGGTCTTAGAATAAAAATAAAATTTCAATTTTTTAGTGAAATGAGTTGTAATTTATTATGCTAGAAATAATTCAAATTAATATCTGAAATTTTATACAAAATAATAAGTCTCAATATATTAATCATGCAGTCTTTATCGTATCCATATTTAGCTTGAATTAAAAATTTTATTTTGAAGGAAAAAAACTAAAAATACCGTGAATTTTTCTTGTTCAAGAAAAAGTGACAGTTTTCTTCTCCTTTTTGGACCGAGAAGAAATCAACAAAGATTCTTCTAACCTGAAATTCAAATTTTCTATATGATATTTACCATTCAAATATTGTAAGAATTCAATTATTAATTCGAATCAATATAGAAGACCTGAAATGTGAGTTGCTATAACATACAAAATATTTTAAAAGATATTTCTTGAATTAATTTTTAGCATAGAAATATTATTATTTTCACTTTGATTAATTATTTTGAAATAGTTACGCCATATGTTATTATCCATCAATAAGGTGTACTAGGTTGTAGCACACAGTAATAGCATGTGACTAAATTATAGTATAGCTAAAATAATGGGAACCCATTAGCACGGCTCGGCTTGGCTCAGCCTAGCTGGATAAAAGCTAGCCGAATAAAAAGGCGAAGGATGAGCCGCCGCCAAGCGAAGCGAAGACCATTTCTCTCTCGTCCTTTGAAATCTTCGTTTTCGCTGACTCTTTCTGTGTGTGAAATTCTAATCATTACCCTCTTCCAACCAACGTCCGCGTAACCAAAATTTTAAAAGAATTCTCTCTTACGTCATTTTAATATTTCACGTGACATATCTAGAACATTTTGATACATTTCATATCTGTAATGACTTTTATAAATGTTTACTCATCTCCCGTGACGGAACTGATCACAAGGGAACATGATACATGTATGTAACAGCCCAACAATTTCCGTTCTGGCAATTTCTTTCTTATGATATATAAATAATTATTTCAGAAAGCAAAAGCACACAGTTATCTTTACCTTCTCCTCATTGGTCCACGTTTCAAATGACAATAATTTTTTTTTACATTTTAAGATTTCTTATTAAAAAATGATAGTTTATTTACTATACCACATTATCTATGTATAACTAACAGAAAGGTAGGTTAAACTAACAACAATACGTGTGAATATGGTAACTGTTATGCACATGGACCTTTGATTTCACATCAAAACGCGGAAGGATAAATCTCTACCGTCCATACAGTAATTGAGAAGTAGTCCACAAAGTTCTTCCGTGTACTGTAGCACATAGGAGTACTTTTTTCCTGCTTCTTCCCTCTTTCCTCATTGTTCAATTTTAATTCCAAAATTACCCTTTCTTCTTTTTTTTTCAAATTCCAAAATCATTTTTTAATATTGTAAATAGAAAAAAGCACATAGCCCATATAAATACTACTCATCTTAAAAAAAGAAAACTTAATCACAAGCTTTTTGCATAGGCAGAATTTGAATAAGTAAACATAGTTTAGATTTTATTTTACCAGATTTTACTGAATTTATTTTTATTGGTATATTAAAGTTTTAAATGATGATTTTTTTTAATTGAATTGTTGAATTTTTTAGTATGTATAAGTGTGATGTGAAAATTTTGTTCTTACTTTTAGAATGCAAAACTTTTGTTTTTATTATAGTTGTATGTATTGATTATCTTTTTTATCTTCAAACTTGGAAATGTTGCTTTCTGTAATTAATTCAGAAGTACATTTGAAGTTTAAGAACTAAAAATGGAAGTAATTCTATTCAATTTGTCTACCTACTTCAAAAAAAAATTGTGAAAAAATAGCATTTCATCCTTTTCAATTTTACTTATATGATTAAATTTGATTGAAATTTTGAATTAGAGATATGCATAGTATATTAAAAGATATTGATATAATATGTGGATAATTATAATTTTAATTAAATAAATAAAACAAGCTTAGTAAAATTCTACTATTATGTGGAGTATGATGAGAATAATGTGTACGTAGATAAACACGATTCAAATATATTAGGTTAATTAAATCAGGGGTATTATTGGAAAAGCACGTGTTAGTAACTGTTCAAAAAACGGGGTGTTTGAAGGACGGCTGGCATTTGGTTGAACGAACCTAACTAACCACCACTTTCCTTCACACTTCTTAGCTTTTACCAGTAAGCTATAATTATTAATTATTTTATTCAATTTTATATTATATTTTCCATCTTTATATTAATATTATTTTTCAAAAATAAAATAAAAAGTAAATATATTTCCAGCTTTTTGCTCTATATATAAAACTATAAATTATCCTTTATTTTCTCTTTTTTCCGTTTTTTCTAAAAGCCAATACTTCTGGATTTCCATTTACTGTTCCCCTTCTTCTTCTCTCTCTTCCCTCTCTCTACTTGCCGGGAAACCTCTTCCCCTCGCCGGCGAACAACTTTTCCGTTTACCGGTGAAAAGAGTCGACGAAAAATTCTAATGCACTCACTCTTCGTATTTCGTTCGGTTTGATTATTGCTTTTACCTTTGGCGTAACTGAGTCACTTGGTTGGTGGAATCGCTCTGATCTCTGAGTTTGACTCGTTTTGTGGAGTTCTAGGGGAATGTGGCGAGCCTAAGGGTGTTTTTCTGGCTCCTTATGCCCTAGATCAGGATCTAGGGCTTGACTGAAGGCTGTATTGTTGTTTTTGGCCTTTTTTTGTATTGTTTTTTCTGTGAAGACGAAGAAGAGTAGGGAAAAGCTTCGTAATGAGATGGTACGTTGTGAGTTGGATGTGTTTTGTATTGTTGTAACATTTTGAGTTCTGAATGTAATTTTTTGTTCCTTGCTTGGAAGTTTGGATCTCAAGTATTCTTAAGATTCCAGAGTAAACTTATGGAGTTTTCCTTCTTCTTTTACATTATGTGTTCCCAGTTATTTCTGCTGCTTTATATTAACCAGTAATTTCACATATTGTAATGAGTGCTTGTTCATGTTATCCATTAAAGAGAAAATTGAATGAAGATTAACTGTTTTATAAAGGAAAGTTTGAGCTGATTTTTTCAGTATTTACATAGATTTCTGATTGAATTGTTTGATGCTATCACCAAATTTCTGGAATTTTTTTTCTCGAACTCAATTCTGTGCTGCTTAGGAATTTTTCCTGTTTGTTTCAGATCTTATTAGTCATATTATGGGTCGTTTATAAAGATATCTGTTCATGTCTGGTTTTTGATAGCTCTTGCTTTCTTCATCTTCTATACTTTTACCCCTCGTCTTATTCCGTTGCAGAAAAAATGTTGACTAAATTTATAAAAGTTTCTTTGAACCTATGATTTTGGTTCGTAGTTGAATTGTTTTCAGTTGTCAAGTTAAATTTGTCAACTATCTTCTTAATGTTAGTTTTAATCTTCTCTGGGTTTACACCTGTTTATTCTTTGTTTCAGGAATTAGTAGTGTTCACACTGAACTTTTTTCATAATTTGTAAGCATAGTTTTGTGTGAGTAAAACTTTTTAAATACTTGTTTGGTTAATAACTAGTGCTCTCAGGTTATTATACGCCTGTAATTCATTTGTATCTATGCACTTAATCGACGTAATTGCAAGCTTCAGTAGGGCAAGGGATGGCTAATTACATGCTTGCGGCCTGAGGGCCTGTGACAGCTGGTTTCTCTGAACTTAAATTCTTGGATTTATTAATAATTGATATCGATATGTTTCAGGGTCATACTCTTTCCTCATTGTGTTGTGGGTTCCCGTGTCTCATTACGTTTACTACTTTACAAGTCAATATTAAAGCTTCGAATGATTGACTGTCTGTTCTGATTTCTGAATAAATCTTCTGGATGTTTTGGTTTGGCCCTGTCGTAAGACCTGTTTTTCTTACAGCTGAATAACAATTATTATTCCATAATGTAGCTGCATGAGGTCTTTTGTACTATGATTTTCTTTTTTAATCCTGTTTGGTTTCCATTTTCCACCTATTGAACTTATTTTCACTGCGGCAGGTGGAAGGGAGAGTCTGCATGTCGAGGGAGGCTAAATTGGAATTTTTGAAGCGAAAGAGGCTTCAACGAATGAAAACAGAATCTTTGAATGATCTTTCTTGTGTCAGCAATATGCTGAGTAGAAGCGGAGGAGATGCCCTACGATCTTCTGCTTCATGTGGTGTTAGAATCCAGGTTAATACTGATTCATATCCAGGATCTGGGGCTTCTTTTAATGGAAAGGATAATTTCTCAAAGCACAAGGTAGCAAAGTTTGACACTTCCAATCTGGACTGGATCGATAAAATTCCAGAATGTCCAGTATACTGTCCAACTAAAGAGGAGTTTGAGGATCCCTTAGTTTATCTCCAGAAGTTAGCTCCCGAAGCTTCTAAATATGGTAAGGCTTCATTGTTTTAATTTGTTCGTCAAACGAATTCAGTGGTTTTGCTATGACTCTGCATTCTGCGAGAATGTGTTAGCCTTTTTTCATTTGGAGTTGCTCTTCAAAAAAAGAATAAATTATTCACAGCTATTCTTGCAATTTACTGACTGTAAAATTATATACTATATGATTTTTCTGGATTGTGTTAGTTTTTCTTTAGGCAATTTATGGTGCTGCTGGTAGGCTTAATTGTGACTGATACAAGCTGATGCTATATTTGAAATGTCACAGGTATATGCAAGATTGTTGCCCCTATAACTGCTTCTGTTCCTGCTGGAGTTGTTTTGATGAAAGAGAAGGCTGGTTTTAAATTTACTACTAGGGTACAGCCACTTCGGCTAGCCGAATGGGACACGGATGACAAGGTCACCTTTTTCATGAGTGGAAGGTTAGTTTTTATTTGTAATTGGTAATTGCATCCTTTGGTTAGTTTTATTCCTCACTTTGACTAGCGTAATCTTTCAGGAACTATTCATTCAGAGATTTCGAGAAAATGGCGAACAAGGTATTTTCTCGTCGATATTATAGTGCTGGATGCCTTCCTCCTACATACTTGGAAAAAGAATTTTGGCATGAAATAGCTTGTGGAAAGACTGATAGTGTAGAATATGCCTGTGATGTTGATGGTAGTGCGTTCTCATCTTCTCCAAATGATCAGCTCGGAAAAAGCAAATGGAATTTGAAGGTGTGATTCCTATTTACATGTTTTTCTGACTCTTGTCATGTTTTGGAGATATCTCCCTCTCAAGTCCTCCTTTGTTTGATTTTCTATTCTTTTGGTCTTCTTCTTTTACCCCCCTTCTGGTCCCTAGGCAAATAATGTATTACCTATTTCATTTCCTGCTTAGTTTCATAGACCACAACTCTCCCCCTCCTGTCAACATTTAGCTGTAGTCCTAAAGAGGTCAACGGTGGCCTTATTGATTTGAATAACTACTTATCAAGTTCTAATTATGTTCTCTACTTTCTTTTATCAGGAACTTTCTCGGTTGCCTAAATCAGTACTGCGGCTCCTCGAAAAATCAATCCCGGTATCATGATTACCTTTTCTCATCATCTATTATTGGAAATATGAACAAACAGAAAATGTGTCTCAGTTTCTGATTGATTCAAGTGTTAATTTTCAGGGAGTTACTGAACCTATGTTGTATATTGGAATGCTATTTAGTATGTTTGCTTGGCATGTGGAAGACCACTACTTATATAGGTATGTATTATTTGATTTGAACCGTGTTAGTCCTTGTTATTTCATGGCCTGATCATCTTTTTGTCTGTTTGTAGTATCAATTATCAGCACTGTGGGGCAGCAAAAACGTGGTACGGTATTCCAGGTCATGCAGCACTTGACTTTGAGAAGGTCGTCCGGGAGCATGTGTACACCAATGATATCTTATCAGCTGATGGAGAGGATGGAGCTTTTGATGTGCTTTTGGGGAAGACAACACTGTTTCCTCCAAATATTTTGTCAGAGCATGGTGTACCTGTGTATAGAGCTGTTCAAAAGCCCGGCGAATTCGTAGTAACTTTTCCTAGAGCGTATCATGCAGGATTTAGTCATGGTAAGAGTCTTCCTTTCTTTAAACCCATAAAAGTCTGTTTTTCCTGATTTTAGTCCAAGGAAACATGTGCGTGAAACCTGCTTAATCAGACACATCCCAAACAAATAATAATCTTTTCCTCCACTATTTTATACTTGATTGTTCTGGTTCCTTTAAGGACATAAAATTTTATTTCTTTCTATGCAGGTTTTAATTGTGGTGAGGCAGTTAACTTTGCAACTGGCGATTGGTTTCCTATGGGTTCAATTTCTAGCCGTCGCTATGCACTTTTGAACAGGGTGCCCTTACTTCCCCATGAGGAACTTCTCTGCAAAGAAGCAATGCTTCTGTGTACGAGTTTGAAACTGGAAGATCCTGACTATTCCTCTTCAGACTTGATCACTCATCGTAGCATCAAAGTTTCTTTTTTGAATTTGATGAGGTTTCAGCATCGTGCTCGTTGGTGCCTCGCAAGGTTAAAAGCATTTTCATGCATATCTTTATTCACACATGGTACCATTCTTTGCAGCATATGCAAGCGTGATTGTTATGTAGCTTACCTTAACTGCAACTGCTATGCACATGCAGTGTGCCTTCGCCATGGTATTTTAGAATGAACCTTTTCTTTCTTTTCATTGTCTAGTTAAATTGGCTGTGCTTGTGAAACTGATGATTGGTTGTTTGGCTGTTGTTGATCAGAACCTAGGTCACTTGATTTTCCTTGCGGCAGCAATAGAACCCTTTGCCTAAGGGAAGATATTTTGGACATGGAAACTGCAGCTAGACAGTTTGAGCAGGATAAGGTAGTTCTGCATGAAGTTCAACAGCAACACAGAAAAACTGATGACTTTTCTAAACTTTTAAAAATGTTTCCACGAGCCGAGGATGATGGTTATGTTCCATATTGTGAAATCAATTTTGAATGGCCAGAGGACTCAGTTGAACAAACAATTTATGAGGAAGCACCAAATGGTTCTGGTCCTGTTGTGTCTGATCTCAACTCTTCAATGGAGCCAAAAGATTATCTTTCAACTGGTGTTAATGTAAGTGGTCTTCTTTTGTGTAATTCTCTATATGCCAACGTTCTTCAAGTTTTGTCTTGAAAAAGCATTACTGCTTTATATGATCTCAAGCTAATCCAGCTCTCAACTGTAGGTACAGGGAAATGCTAACTGTAACTTAGGGGATAGTTCATCAATGAAGCTCCATGGTGATGTTTTTAGTTGTGGGAGTGAAAGATCGGAGATTTCATCAAGTGCTAGCAGTAAAGTCCATCAGAAAGTAGCTCAAGAGACGGATTGTAGAACTATTATAGATCAAGACAGTGATGAGTCTGATACAGAGGTTTTCAGAGTGAAGAGACGTCCTCGAGCAGAACATAGAAGTGTACATGATTCAATGTCTATCAACGTTGAAAATCAGGTAGAGTTCAATAAGCATTGATGCTTTTTAGTTAAAACCAAATATTCATCAATTAGTTTGATAAGAGGTGAAAATGTGTGATTAAATGCTTTATTTTTCTCTTTCTTTTTTCCATATGCGTACAATTTATTCCTTTGTAAATACAAGTGCAAGGACAGTTCTTATCATCGCTTCTGTCTTCGTATGTTAGGGTTCCATGTTTGCTGGTGAATTTCCTTCTCTTTTCTTATCCAGCTTGGGGGGAATGTGGGAATTTTTTTGTTGCCTTACAAATTTCTTCAACTTGACGTGATTTGTTGTTTAGAAAGTGAAACTAATTGTCTGTTAGAAATTAGTATCCTTTCAGTTTTGAATGTAATTTCAATGACCAATTTGAGTGTATATTCATATCCTTCAGCTCTGAAGTTCCTCTCCTTGTACTTTGCAGAGTTTTAAAAGATTAAAGAAACATCAATCAGGACGATTGGGGTCATTGTGTTTGCCAGAGCATTCCTCGACTTGTGATATAAATCATAGGTCCGTTGCTATTTCAAGCCAATCGAAGGAAGCATTGGACTTCCATCCCAGAGACAAGTCAGTGAGAGGTGGTACAGTTCCAGTCTGTATTAAGTTGAAGAAAGGGGTTGGTTATGAACAAGATGAGCACAAGAGAGATGATAGGTTACCGTTTGAATTGGGGCAGAGTAAGAGGAGGGAACCAGGGAGAACAGAGAGTGGGTCGAAGCGTTTGAAAGTCAGAGGTCCTTCAGTTTTAGGGTTTGGAGGTCGGATGGATGGATTGAATAGATAGGTAACTGAAAAAGTAAAGGAGCATCGACTTTGCTAACACACAGATATTCTCTAACAACACGATAAAGAAAGGTAAGCATTAGATTAAAGAAGAGTTCTTTGTGCAGGCCTCTAAAGTTGGGGCAAGTAGCACAGTGGTGATTGTTATTGTTCTTTGTCCAGGGAGGAGAACCTCTCTCCTTGTTATTCCACTGCAGATAGATAGTAGGTGAATTCTCTCATGTACATTTTTATTTTTAACAAGTTGATCCAATTCTTGTGAGGTGCAAATGGGTATTCCCAAATAGCCCTCTGATTTAATGTCAAGCCTGTTGCCTTCTCCCTAGTTTAGGGTTCATTATTCTTTTGTAGCTACATGTCCTTTTTTGGCTTGAAACTACATGAATAAATACATAGCATTTTTTTTCCCCCTTTCACTTTGAATTAAAATGTATACTAGTAAGTTGCTACTTTCTTTGATTTGCCAAGTCAAGTGCCACAGGACCAATTAGTTTGGATGTGTTCATAATTTATCATCATTTTGGAATGGGCTATCTTCTTGAGGGCTTCCATTTACCATGGGTTAACATTTTGGTCATTTGCCTCTCATCCATAATTTAAGTAAATATTTTCATATCATAATTATGTCAGGGCATGACTACAGTTTCTAAAGAATTTATGCCCTATTAAGTATAAACACGATTGCTAAAAGGACAAAAATTAAACGTCAATCAATTTTAAAGGGTAAGGATTAACTACCAACCCATTTAAAGAACCAGAATGAAAAGAACAACCCATTTGACACAAATCCGTTTTAAGGAACAAAAATTGAAAGACAAAATATACAATTTTATCTTAACACTAGGAGTTAAAAATACAAGATGAGCTATTATTATTTTAGTTGAAGGCTTGAAGCGCATCAGATAAAAATTGGATAGTTACGTCATCACTTTCTTTTTTCTATTTACTATAATATAATATTTCTATGTCCTAATTTATATTATAAATTTTTTTTCGAGAAACATATAATTTAAGCTTGATAAAATAAGTGTATGGAATTTTTAATTTTTTTAAAAATAAAATTTATATATTTGTAAATTACGTAAAAAGTACTATAAATCACAATAATTGATAATCCAAAATATTTAAAAGATATATAAAAAATTTACGTAAAAAATTAGATTTGTTTAAGACTCAAAATCCAAACTGTCACGATTAAGTTAAACTAATTAGATTACGGCCTTAGCTCTTATCAAGTTTTAATTTCTATTTTTTTCTTATTATTTGCCTAATTAGCATATGAAATTGATGGGTTCTTTTTCTTTATTATGATATATTATATCACACAAAAATCAATTCTTTACAAAGTGATTCATGGATCAATTTAAATTATACATTTATTAATTTAAATCAACTCAATCTTTAAATAAAGTTGAATTGAGCAAATTAAAATATGTCAAACAAGAAAATGATTGGAACATCAATCTACCCACTCTCTTTCAAGTGAGAACACAGTGAATACGATTAGTAGTTATTTGGTCTTTTTCTTTGTATATTATACGAAAAATATCCGAATTTTATTTTAGCGAGTTATACCAAAAGCTTTTTTTTCAAGTAAATATATTTTATGTTTAGTCTATACGAAGCTACACTTCAGGCATAAATATCAAAACTCGTACGAGCATTTTTAATTTCAGCCGCATACTTATGAAGTTAGTTTTGAAACAATTAACTTACCAAAAAATTAGATGAACTTCCGATATAAATTAAATGTTTAATCTCAAAAACGGGTATTTGTATCCTTCACCTTGTTTTTCAGAATCTTATTATTCTCAATTTTTCTAAAAAAAAAGTTAAAAAATTAAACCCGCTATGTCATCTTTGATAAATACTCAATAAAAGTGCATACCAAATTTCATGCAAATATATTTTATGTTGATTGTTCATCATACAATAATCATACCATATAAAGTTTGTAAATATAAAATTTACCCTCTATTTTTCAATTTATGCTTGACATAATTGAAATTTTAAGGTTCAAACTAATAAATTTTGATCATAAATTTCTTGAAAATAAAATTTTATATATTTAAAACTTAGAGTAAAAAGTATTGGAAGTTTCACTATATAACAACTTAATATTAAAAGGTCACTAGTCATGTTCACATTGTAAAAGATTCAATTGGCCCATTTATGCTAATTTTTCATGTGGGCTCACTTTACTAAACTAATTGGGCAAATCATGAAAAATTGGAGACCACGTTCTATCCCTTAACTCTCTTATATCGCTATCTAAATCGAAAATTATCTAAATATACAATTTATTTTATCATACTCTTCATAATGACCTATTATTTAAAAATTTTTACAAAAAACTCTCCTATTCTCAGAATCATTACTTTATGTGTTGTATCGTGATGTACACGATACATCAGTCGAATATCGTATTCAAAATCAAGACAAGATGTATCGGAATTTTGAAGGATGTATCCAAAACCGAGATGCTATGTGACATTTTGAAATATATTCGAATTCCACCAAATTTTTAAAAGATATAATAATTTGAAAAAAAATTAAAATTAGATTTAACTAATTCTTAACACTATGAGATTTACGTAAAATTTCTATCTAATTATTAGATTCTTAGGTTAAATTAGTAACAATCTAATAAATTCATGACACACACATATTTATGGTTGATTAGTTATAATTTAATTATTATAAATTTTTAGATATTAAATTTAATTGAACCTGGCTATCCGCTTATAATATTGTGGATTCACCTATAGACTATAGTGATAGAATGATTTATGGTCACATAAATATTTATTACTTATTTTAAATCATAAATTTCAAAAGTCTTCATTTCTTTCTTAAATTTTGTGTCAAGTGATACTAACTCAGTAACTCATATAAAATACGACATAGGAGTATAATTTTTGAGATAATTAGATTAAAGGTGCATGCATCTTCTTCTTCTTTTTTGAAAGTGGAAGGGAAAATGGAAAAAGATTACGAGGCGAACGATTAAATTCTCATAAACAAGATTAAAGTTTAGATAATCAACTAAGTAACTAATACCTTACATTCACTCCATCTATGCTTTTTTTTTTGGTGATTTTTTGAAATTCATCTCAAAGAATTGATGTTAATTTTGTTAAGTGTGTTTGGGTTAAGCTTTTCAGAGGCTCATGTTTTTTCTAAAATGCTTATTTTACAAATGGTATTCAATCGAAAGATATTTTACTAGCTCAGTTAATCTAACTATGTAAAATCCTCACCCTTGTATATAGTAAAACAATCTTTAACATTTTCGTATATTTACTTAATTTTAAGGGATAATGTCCAAGTACTTCTTTAACCTATGCCCGAAATCTCAGAGACACACTTATACTATACTAAGGTCCTATTACCCCCTGAACTTATTTTATTAATAATTTTTTACCCCTTTTCGACCTACGTGGCACTATTTTGTGGGCCCAACAAAGGTTGACTTTTTTTTCAAACTAGTGCCACGTAGGCTAAAAAGGGGTAAAAAATTACTTATAAAATAAGTTCAGGGGGGTAATAGGACCTTAGTATAGTATAAGTGTGTCTTTGGGATTTCGGGCATAGGTTGAGGGGGTACTTATTGAGGAATATGCTAAGAGTATTGATAATAGTTGAATAACTAGTTAGTTAGAGCTCAATTAGTTAGTTAACTAGTTGTTAGTTTAGTTTGTTTAGTTTGTTAGCCACCTGTCATTCTGTTATTGGTTCATTTCCATTGATTAGCTAATTGTATATATATGTGAGTGTTATGCATTGTAATAGTTAGTTAACACATTGTAAAAGCATGAGGGAGAAATTCTCTCCATAACAAATTTCTTCTTCCTTCTTCTTCTTCTTTAATCTTCCATTGTCGATTGCATAGTATCAACAAATTGTCATGGTATCAGAGCTCTTGTCCATATACACCTCAACAAAATGGTGTAGTGGAAAGAAAACATAGACATATAATGGAGACAACAAGAGCTATTCGATTTCAAGGCAATATCCCAATCAAGTTTTGGGGAGAATGTATTTTAGCTGCTGTTCATATCATCAATAGAATTTCATCCACTGTGTTACTTAATAAGTCTCCTTTTGAAATGCTGTTTGGAAAGCTACCAGATTTGTCCTACATGAAGATCATTGGATGTTTGTGTCATGCAACTACATTGTTGAGATCTGATAAGTTTGGTTCTAGAGCCATCAAGTCAGTACTTATGGGTTATGGCACTACACAGAAGGGATACAAACTTTATGATCTACAAAATAAGGTCTTCTTTGTCAGTAGAGATGTGGTTTTTAATGAATCTAGATGATTCATCTTTGAGCTCCAACAGACGACAATCAACTAGTACTTCTAGGCCTCCACTTTGGCAAAAGGATTTTGTTACTACATTCAAGTCCAGATCAAAGTCTAACTGTTTGTACTCACTGAAAAACAGCATTGTTTACAGTAACTTGTCTCCCTCTTATCAATGTTGCATTGCTAATCGTTAAATCGACACTGAGCCTAAGTTCTATCATCAAGCTGCCAAGGATAAGAGGTGGGTCACAGCTATGAAAGAAGAGATACAGGCATTAGAAGACAATAAGACTTGGGAGGTAGTAACTTTACCTGTTGGAAAAAAGGCTATAGGTTGCAAATGGGTGTACAAGATTAAGTACAAGGCAAATGGTGAAGTTGAGAGATTCAAAGCCAGACTTGTAGCCAAGGGATACAGTCAGCAAGAAGGTTTAGACTACCAGGAGACATTTTCTCCAGTTGTTAAAATGGTCACAGTTAGAACAGTGCTTACTCTAGCTGCATCTAAAGGATGGGATGTCCAACAGATGGATGTTTATAATGCATTTTTGCAAGGTGACTTAGTAGAAGAAGTCTATATGCAGATACCTCAAGGATTCTCTCATATGCATGCTGGGGATCAACATGTGTGTAAGTTGCTTAAGTCATTGTATGGACTTAAGCAAGCTTCACGACAGTGGAATGTAAAGTTGACTCAGGCATTATTAGTTGCTGGATTTCAGCAAAGCCATTTGGATTATTCCCTATTGATCAAGAAGTCTAGTGAAGGCATTGTGATTGTTTTGATTTATGTTGATGATTTGTTAGTCACTGGTAGTAACATCACATTAATCAATGACACCAAACAAGTGCTAAAGGATAACTTCAAGATCAAAAATCTAGGATCATTGAGATATTTCCTAGGGATTGAATTTGCCAGAACCAATGAAGGAATTCTCATGCATCAGAGAAAGTATGCCTTAGAGATTATTTCAGACTTGGGTTTAGGTGGATCTAAACCTATTGCCACACCTGTTGAACTGAATGGAAAGCTCACTACTGTAGTTTTTGACAAGTATGTAGGAGTTACATCTGATCCTGTACTATCAGATATTGGTGAGTATC